TTGTTGTAGTTGTAGTTGTTATAGTAGTAGTGTGGTTGTAGTAGTTGTAGTGGTAGTAGTAGTAGTTAGTAGTAGTAGTAGTAGTAGTAGTAGTGTAGTAGTAGTAGTAGTAGTAGTAGTAGTAGTAGTGGTGTTGTAGTAGTAGTAGTAGTGGTAGTAGTTCAGTAGTAGTAGTGGTAGTGGTAGTAGTAGTAGTAGTAGTTGTAGTAGGTAGTAGTAGTAGTAGTAGTAGTAGTGGTAGTAGTAGTAGTAGTAGTAGTAGTAGTGTAGTGTAGTAGTAGTAGTAGTAGTAGTAGTAGTAGTAGTAGTAGTAGTAGGTAGTAGTAGTAGTAGTAGCAGTAGTAGTAGTTGTAGTAGTAGTAGTAGTAGTAGTAGTAGTAGTAGTAGTAGTAGTAGTGGTGGTAGTAGTAGTAGTAGTAGTGTAGTAGTGTAGTAGTAGTGTTGTAGTAGTAGCACTAATAGTAGTAGTAGTAGCAGTAGTAGTAGTAAGTAGTGTAGTAGTGGTGGTAGTAGTAGTGGTAGTAGTTGCAGTAGTAGTAGTAGTAGTAGTAGTAGTATAGTAGTAGTAGTAGTAGTAGTAGTAGTGTGTAGTGGTGTGTAGTAGTGGTACTAGTAGTAGTAGTAGTAGCAGTATAGAAATCACATATCTATAGAAGCAGTATTGCATTGTAGTAGTAGTAGTAGCAGTAGTAGTAGTAGTAGTAGTAGTAGTAGTAGTAGTAGTAGTCTCTCTCTCTCTCTCTCTCTCTCTCTCCCTCGTCGTCGTCGTGTTGTTGTTTTTTTTTGTTTTCCTGCGCTGTGATTGGCTGTCGGGCGGTCGGGGGGCGTGGCTCTGTCATCTCAGATCTCTGGGCTCAGATTAAATCCAGTGAACATATTGATCTGTGGGGAGGAAGAGGACGGAGCTTTAATGGGATTCAGGAAAAGGAACGACAACAATCGTCGGGAAAAACGATCGATGAAAACGAGCGGACGAGCGCCGGCATCTGGGATCTGCACCACGGGATTCCTGAAACCGACTCGCTTCTACAAACTGCGTCTCATGTCCATCAAACGCAGAAGACAGAAACTTAACACGTCTCTGTCTGGAATGTTCCACAGTGTGACTTTAAACAGCTCCACTTTACATTTACTCAATCACAGGTGCAGGTTTTACAGAAACACAAAACACCTCGAAAAAACATTGTGACTGTGAGCGGCGTCGCCTCTCCACAGATCTGACCCGTGACTCTATATTTTTGAACAGGACTGAAAAGTAAAAAGTACTTTTCTCGTACGTTTTAGTATTTAATTTGACTTATTGTCCCGACATTTGAGCGAAACAAAAACAGCTACAAAACATGAGAATATTTGTGGGTAAAAAACATCAAAATATTTGACGGGAAGTGTCTTTTGTTTAGACGGTGATGGCGTTTTTGGGGCTTAAAAACGCAAACATCTGAAACCACCTCCGGAGTGGAAAAGTTAAATATGCTCCGCCGTTGCGTTTCCGTCTACAATGCCCAAGACGCAAAACTCTGGTCAGACGTGCTCAGGTCGTGTACGAGTTTACGTCACAAACATACAGGACACAGAAACAAACATGTCTCGACAAATGTGGAGAATCTGAACAGAGATTCTCCACATTTGGAGATGTTTCTTACAAACGATGTTGATGTTGATGATGACGATGATGATGTTGACAATGTTCATGTTTGTATGCCAATAACTGTTGACGATGTTGACGTTGACGATGTTGAAGTTGACGATGTTGATGATGTTGACAATGTTGATGTTGATGATGTTGTTGATGATGCTGACGATGTTCATGTTGTACGCCGATAACTGTTGACAATGTTGAAGTTGACGATGTTGAAGTTGACGATATTGATGTTGATGATGTTGACGATGTTGATGATGATGTTGAGGATGTTGTTGATGATGCTGACGATGTTGACGATGACGGTTGTCGATGATGACGATGTTGATGTTGACGATGATGATGTTGATGTTGATGATGATGTTGACGATGTTGTGTACGATGTTGACGATGTTGATGTGACGATGACGATGATGACAATGTTGTTGACATGTTGATGATGTTGATGTTGACGATGTTGATGATGATGTTGATGATGTTGACGTTGACAATGTTGATGTTGACGATGTTGATGTTGATGATGTTGATGTTGACGATGTTGATGTTGATGATGTTGATGATGTTGACGTTGACAATGTTGATGTTGACAATGTTGATGTTGACGATGTTGATGTTGACGATGTTGATGATGATGTTGACGATGTTGACGTTGACAATGTTGATGTTGACGATGTTGATGATGTTGATGATGTTGATGATGATGCTGACGATGTTGATTGATGTTGATGATGTTGATGATGATGCTGACGATGTTGACGTTGACGATGTTGATGATGATGACTGACGATGTTGACGATGTTGAGATGTTGACGATTGTTGATGATGTTGACGTTGACATGTTGATGTTGACGATGTTGATGT